TACTAGTATACATATATATACATATATATATATATATATATATACATATGTATATAAAAGCAAAATCCAACCCTTCTCGAATTTATAATTTCATTATGAAATTAAAAAAAATCCATACACGTACGGAAAATACGCCATAAAATATTCTTCCGTTTATTACCGACTTTTAGAATCAAGATTAAATTTCAAAAAATATGATGAAAAGGCGACGAAGAATCAGAGGAGCACTGCAGAAAAACTCTCCACGATTAGTTACCCAAATATAGGAACAATAAGGCAATACCTGTTTCTCACTTCAACAAAAACGCACTACGAAATGTTGGTGACCCAGAAACAACATGATGTAACATATTTAACAGACTAACATCATGAATAATACAAAATACTGAAAAATATCAAGTAGGATGAAAGATGGGCTCCCAAGAGGAAAGAAACTGTGAAAACTAGAACAATAAATTCCACAATATATATTATTATACACCACCTAATAATACGCCGTAATGGAAAAGAGTCGAAGAGATTTCTCTGTCCATGTATCATATTGGTTGTCCGGAACTTTCGCACTGGAAAGTGGCTAACCTTGCATCGTCACTCGTGCCCTCTGAAGTACATATAAACTCTCTGCAACAAGTTGCACTCTTGATAAGTCACCACATAGAGACACGATATATAAGCATCTAATGCTGTGAAGCTAATGCAATCGAGAGTGGCTTTTGTTGAACCAAGCTGTGACCATGTTCCATGCTTAATTATGAAAGATGGACCTAATAAAGCACCTTGGAGTATCTATAAGACCTACTAATCAGTTTGGATGCTACTAATTAACTTGAGATACTAATTCCATTTTAAATATGAAGAAACATTTGATGATTACAGTAGAAAATGCTGGAAAATCATTGAAAAATATTAATATAGCACTAGATTAAAATGAATTCTACCACATACAGCTAGAAAAGCCTAGTACATATCTAACCATCATAATCACAGTTCCATCATGTCTCATGTATGGACCAATTATGTACAACAATATGTACCCATGCTTCATTAAAGAAAAGGATATGGACCAACTTTGTACCATATGACATCTTTTTGCATAACACAATATCGCATGGTAATTAGTCTGGAAAGTGAAATCAACTAGTCATAGTGACGGACTTCAAGGAGAAAAACAAACATATATGAGAATGCATCAGCAGGCTGTGTCTTATGTGCCTAAACTAATCTTCTATAGCAAAGAAGGTTACAAGTCTCTAAGTACCCACAAGCTTATATGAGAATGCATAGCACAAACCTGAAGTACCCACAAGCTTATTAGTGTCTCTAAGCAAAACAAACCAAAGCCAACCAGGTAGAAGATCTGTGATAAATACAAGACATGTTAAATTTTATTATATGTAAACTGGGAAAGTCTTAAAAATATAGCTAGCATATGCGAGCCTGAAAAGAGAAAATAGAATAAAGGACCTTTGCCTTTACAAACTTGTAGCCGAAATTTTCAAAGAAATTGAGAGCAATCCATAATAAGTAATATTAGTTTTTTCTAATAGGTAATATTAGTGAAAGATAGCAGTATCAATTGGAATTGGAAATGCAAATGCATCAACTCACCCCAACCAATGCATGATCTGAAAAGGTATCAATTGCTGCAAGGATTCCCCTGATTAAACATTGAAAAAAAAGACATCAAGACAATTGCATGGTTCATAAGATGACAGCATAAACTGTCTGAAACAAGAACACCATATACTATCATTTAAAGAATATATCTTGTCACAATAAAGAATAAAATCCCAGGCATTTTGCAACTATTTGGATACTAAGTTCTTCTCCAATATTTCCCCTTCTAATATAGGCACCACAAAAGATCAACATCACTACTAAGATCCTCTGTGATGTGATGCTGTGACTTCAGAAAGGAAGAAAGTCCAGATTAATCTTAGCATCATCATTGGCATAGCAACCACTAACATGGATGTTAAAGGAGGAAAAACCAGTTGTCACCAGATAAAATGAGCTTAAACTCAATATTACACAAAATGATGGTTGCTAAAGACATACAACATGAACAGAAGTGAAGATGTAAAGCGACACTAGTCCATCCCTTTTAACTCTCTAGTTAAGCAGGCCAACTAATGTGCCATATGCACATGGATACACAATATTTAATAACACAATGAAACAACAGAAATAGTAAAAACAGAGAAAAAAAGATAAGGAAAAAAGTATGCAGAACTTCAAGTAAAAAAGAAAATTTCATGTTGTGATGAAATTGCTGCTGCTTGTTAATGTAAGGGAGAGTTTGTCCTCTAAAACCTTCAGGCCATAGGACAGTTTTCTCATTATCATAGTAGCTACAGAAAAGAGAAATTCCAAGTACCACAAGTTATTCAACCAAGAAAATGTCAATTTTATGTAATACATGACTGTTGAAGCTGAAAACACTACTGTAATCTACATTTTAGGCTTCATTCATGCAAGGCAGCAATTTGATGCAAATAAAAGAAATTAACAGATATGTACAGTAACAATTTTGGGATGCAGTATAGAAAATCATGAATCATAAAATTAACAAAGACATTACTAGACATGGCCAAGACAGAAGTCAATCTTCCATTAATAATCCATCATACATAACCAATTTTTCAAGGACTACCAAGTACCAACACTCTAGTACATAGTTTATAAACCAATTTAATAAAACTATACTATAAATAGGAACTTTATTGACAAAAAGATCAGTTGTTCAAAATTCACATTCCAACCTTCAGTTCATTCAAAGTTTAAAGGGATATCTACAGTTTCCAAAACCTTCAATTCAAAGGTTGTGACTCTCCCAAGTGAACCACTTAATAAAGTCATTATTAATCATCAGCTCTACTAAGAAACACCCTATATCATTCTTTAAAAAGTAGAAACAAAAACAATGACAGACTTAAAACCTGACGTATTTCATTAGAGTAAACCTGTATTCGCAGTGCGTAATGACCAAACGTTAAACCCAATCTATGGCTTAATTGAACCTGAGTTCCATGACTCGGAGAAAGTTCCAATGGATCATTGCAGAAACAGTAATAAATCATGTGGTGGATAAGTATCACATCTATAATAGAGCACAAGCAGTCTATCTTTTAACCTCTTTGAAATCAAGCAAACGATACACCAGTATATCATTCAGCATCAAATATTTTTCCACATCAATATACAGAGTATTGTTTTTCGGTTTTTCATAGGCCAGAACATCAAAATTGGTACCGGAATTTCAATTTAACAAAATTTGAAAATTGATGCATGAGTTGCAACACAATAGGGTTAGTTTGATATCAATACCATTATCCTTTAGCACAAATAAGAACAAGGAAATTTGACTTACGTTAATGACTTCCCATGGAACACAATCGGAGGAGCAATGGCAGCAAGGATACAAAAACCAACATGGATCTGCGCATGATAATATCAATAACATAGATAAGAAGCTAACAAAGGCTAAAAGAGGAAAACATACATAAGGAGACTGGTCATCAGAATTACCAGGTAGAATAGGAAAAACCACCCAAACTTAAGTGCACTATCAGTCCTGCTTGACAAAAGAAATAACTGAGAAACAGGGAAGAAGCACTGACAAATTATGCAGCTACATAAGCACAACTCCCAGCAGTGCTACGCAAGAGTCATAGAATAAGAAATTAAATATTGAAAACTTGGATAAAAGCATGTTATTGGAAACTTAGTAAGGTTAATGTTCTCTTGTGAACTGAAACTTTCTAATTAAAATGTTCCATGGGACCTAATCACTGGCTCTTAGTCTGCATGGTCAGATATTTGGAATAAGCATATGTTGAACAAGGTTATTTATGCCTGATGCCAAATGAATTCTGTCCCTCCAGCCCAATAATATTGTAATCAGCAGCTACTATAACAAAAGTAGCTTGAAAAGCACTAGATAGAAACCAATATGCTAAAATAATACAATCAACTACAATTGGCATGCTATAGAAATTATGCTGATCATTGGCAGCCTACCTCATTGCACGGTACAAAGGTCTGTACCAAAGCACATATGAAAGAGGACATCCAAGCAAAGCATAGATAATTGCAAGGAAAAAGATCTTCACACCTGTGGATTAAGAAGTCAAACCATTACATTACAATATTTCAGAAAGGGCAAAGGAGAAATACTGTGCAAGAAACAAGACTAAATAAATGATAGAAAACTGCAGACAAATTGCTTATATAAAGAATTTTTACCTCCCCCTTTAATCCAGCAAACAATCACAGCAATAACATTCCATGAAAGACAGAGGAGAATTCCTGCCATGAAAAATGCCAGCAGAAACTTTTCATGATTGAATATTTATTATACCAGACATTCTAATTGCCAACATAAAGTCTCAAAATTTTATGATCTCAAGGATCAGATGCCATCGTGACAGAGTTGACTACTTTAAATAACTGTGTGAAAACCTTCCAGATAGAAATAATAGTCAAGTCAAGCAGGTATTGACATAGAATGCTAGATGAGAACATTAAGGAATGAATAATAAGTTCATCTCAGTATAGTCCATGAATTGGCTATCCCGACTCAAACTGATCACACATTATCAGAAGGGTGCTCTAGAGAGATATAGCACATATGATACAGCAAAAAACACAATCAAACACCTGAAAGAAGATATCATTGCTTCCAGTGAATTATCATGTAAAATCCAGCTTATATACCACTACAAACAACTAATGCCACGTTTAAGGCAAAAACATCTTCGTAAGTCAAATTAAGTTCCTTATTATACAAGTCACGTCAATTAGCAAATAAGGATGTAATCAAAGTAGCTAGATACCTAACCAACTAGCAAATGCCAAGTATTGCAACCTCTGAGCATGCACTGGAATTTCCTTGGCTATATCATGATGAATGATAGGAAAAAACGGTGGCCAGTTCTTTTCCTCAATAGTGACACCAGCTGAAATAAGGGAAATTATAGCCAAAAATTGCCATCAAAGAATTCTTATTGATGTACAACAGACCTACCAATCATTTATGGTGGTTATCCACGTACCTCTTGTCAATGCATCCTCCCTTCGTTTAATGTCCTGTAATAGCAATTCAAATATACCTAAGATGTGAGGTAGATCCAATAGACAAAGAAGCTTGGAAGCGTGAACACATATGTGACAATAAATATTAGTGAAATACTTCAGACGTGTAATGATCATGGAAAAAATTGAAATAAAAAACGATAACAACAAGGTTAAAAGGTTGATTCTATTGAGTTATCACAACCATTTCCCTCCTTTTCAGGTTCTCTTCCCATGTGGCGAGTTCCTTCTCCCTTTTCTTTGCATCCTACACCGACCCACACAAACATGTTATCTTGGCACAACATCAGTAACCTAAAAGTTAATGGTACCATATGACGTGTTAATTCACATTTACTGTGTCCAATGGTATGTCCACTGTCGCGTCATTCTTGTTACCAAATCCAAAGGCTTTTGATGCCAGTGTAGGAAGGCGAGAATTAGATCCAGAAGCAGCTGAAGTCTGGAAAGGAAAGCATGTCATTAGCCTCAAAATAAAAGATTCACACAGCGCATCTACCAAATAGGAGGATTATACAAAATGATTTCTCACATTCCACCATAAATCAGCTAGCAACAAGCAAGCTAAGTAAGAAAACCAATTCATCTTCAAAAACGAGAGCGAACCCACGAAGATCTAAATTATCAACTAAAGTTTTTCTTGAGAGTTTCCCCGACACAATCTCCAGAGCAAATCGAGACCAAAGTATGATACTGCCCTTTTGAGGTACAGATCATTGGGTGACAACAAAAGTTGTCGAATCTGACCAAAAAAAAAAATGACTCGCAAAACCCTAGAAAACGAGAAAAAATCCGGAGAAAAAGCAACAGCGTAGTTAAGAGAGAGGGGGGGGGCGTGATTGGATTACCGCGAACGGGTTCACGTCCATTTCGTCGAACGGATTGGGATCGCGAGACATCGTGTACCGATCTACAAGAACCAGACTGAGCAATGATTCCAATCTCTCTCTCTCTCTCTCGTCCTCCTTTTTGCCCTCCTAATGCACTCTGTCTTGGCAACGAAGCAGCCGAAGGGGGGGGCGGGGGGAGCGATCGAACGCGGCGGTGGTAGCCTTTTGAGGACGACACGGCCTCTCGCGCATCCTGTTAGACTCCATGCCGGCATGAGCAACTGTCCCTGAGAGAGACAGAAAATAACAGGAATGCCATCATCGGTGCCGAGGCTGGGTCGAAGGGAGAGGGTACATTCGTCATTTCACAACGCGAGTGGCGTACACATCCCCATCTTCAAATACCCATCCCCATCTTCAAATATTATATTATGCCTCCCCTTATTCACCTGTCCAACATTTACATGTTAAGAGGATCATCAGGAACGAATCTCCACAACATGTCTGCCATTCGTCACTACTTGATCAGGATTATCAACATAGAAAAAGCTATCGAGTAAAGTAAATCTTTGAACTTAACTATAAGCTTGTGTCAGTGTTATTTGAGGATCCATACAAAATCAGACGTGAGATCTATAAAAAAATAACATGAACCATCATAGTATTTATTTTGCTTTATTCAAAAGCTTCAATAATTTCACATTTTCACGTTAAAAAAAAAAAAAAGAGTTTATTTTTATCATGTCTGAAATTTACTTCTTGTTTTCCTTGGTGAAGCAATGTATGAACTTCTCCTTGGAATGCTCAGGCGTCAGCGGACAAAACCAATCTAAACTTTGTGGGATCACCTGAGTCACTGACAAAATAGCAAAGAGATGTTAGAATATATAGGTCACACATAATGAACAATTTTGACATGTACACTCCATAAATTGAAATGCAGATTCCAGGATCTCTTTTTACTGTTGATTGAGATTGGTGTAGACATGTGGCAGTAAACATCCCTAGTTTCATAATAAAATTAAAAGTAGACATTAAAAAAAAAAATCAGCAACTATTTACCTTGTAAAGGACCACAAACTATGCAGCAACACATTACAGCAGGCAACATACCACACAGGATGTTTGTGGGTGTTCACCATACCTGAGAATAAGGCTAAACGACTTCCCGGATAACAACACAATTTCACCATCACTGTTCCATGACCTAAGCATTTCCATCAAAATGCTTGTTCCTCCTATGTACCAACAGAATCATAAAATTCAACAAAAGTAAAATTGATTCTTTTCTCCAACAATGCTCAATGTGTAGTCCATTCATCAGCACTACTGGCTTAACTTTCAGGCAACATGGGTTGATGTCATTCTCAAGACCATGCACAGCTGCTCACTTACATCTCCGGTGCAACTTTCCTACTTTGGCTCTCTTTTCACAACCTCCACCTGCCGATTTTACCATTAGTCCAACCCAGTAATGTTTGCTGTATGATCCTAAAACAACTGAGTTTTTATCGACAAACTTTAGCAGATTTTATACTGCCAATGTATTACCTGACCTCCAGTGATGAAAAGTTGA